TATTTATTCTTTAAAAGTTTCAAAATAGCAGAACAACTTTTATACTTGACGCTGCCTTGGAAAGCAAAATAAAAACTGACTTTTTAACTGTTACCATCAACTAAAAGGTATGAGAAAATTATAACCGTGTAACCCATTTCCGACGGGATCACTTTTATTTCACTGTTCAAGTTTCTTTGTTAAACTGAGAGCGCTTTAAAGCTATCGTTAACAATAATTGCTTATTACACTGTCATTGTTAAATAAAGAATCCCGTACAATAGACGGTACGCGTTATAATTTGAGTGTTGTTAATATTTGGTTCAGTGTTATTTCCTATTCATCTGTTATTGTTTGCTCTTGACTATGTGAACACATTTGAAATTAGACTAATTTCTAATGACATTGTTGACAATTATAAAGTTTTAACTTTGAGGGTTTACCCAGTGCCATGGTTTCCAATGGCTTTGAAAGCGGCTTCTCGGGAGCACAATGATAACCATGAGTAAACTTTATTAGGTTCTTCAATATATATCTTAATATATATAAAGTACGTGTCACGTTGTTTGTCCGCGATGGACTCCTAAATTACTTAACCGATTTTAATCAAATTTGCACACTATGTGCAATTTGGCCTAACTTGAGAGATAGGATAGTTTTTTTGCCCATGAGTGACCCACAATTTATTTATTTTTTTGCGAATTTAAGGATTTTTAATAGGACATGACAAAGGGTCGTCGAAAAGGGCAGAACAACGTTTGCCTGGCAAGCTAGTATAAGTATATATACTAGCTTATCAGGCAGAAGTTGTCTACTATCTTATCTTATGTATACTTATATACTAGCTTGTCAAGCTAGTGTATAAGTATATATACTAGCTTGTCAGGCAGACGTTGTTCTGCCCTTTTCGACGACTCTTTGTCATGTCCCGTTAAAAATCCTTAAATTCGCAAAAAAAAAAAGTCTGTCACTCATGGAAAAAAACTATCTATATAAATAACTATATATATATATATTGGGGAGGGGTTAATTTTTTTTTTAAATATTATATTGTGAAACAATCAAACATGTACGCGTAACGCTTTGTTATTATCTGATGACAACAAAAAAAAAAAGACAATTATCTTCCTATTGTTTTTATCATTGCTTATGCATTGACAATTATGACGTAAGAAATTATACAATGACATATTGTCAAGTGGCTAGCAATTTATATTTGCATAAATAATGGTTACGTTAAGTTGTTAAGTTGTGATGGAATGGTACGACGCCTGACGTCATGACTTTGTACCTATAAAGAGTCTTCCATCATTCCATTTCTTCCAGTAGGTGTCGTAAGAATCGACTATGAGAAATGTCATAATGATCACATTGTTTCCGAGAGATGGTTTTATAATAATTAGATGTCAACGGATCAGTAAGCTGAAGTGGCAATGGGCTTATCGTATAGCTTGAAAAACCGATAGCCGTTATTTCCTAACCTGGTACGACATGCAATTTTGCAGTCCTAGAATTCGATTGGAATTGAATGCAGGTTACCTATAACCATGATTTGGGGCTTGTGACGGGTGTAACGATGATAATCATGATGAAGGTTTCAAATAACGCGTCTTATTGAATTCGTAAATTAGCTTGATATATTTTATTTTAGGAAATTTCATGTCCAGCTGCTGAATGTTAACAGGCTGATGAGGTAAGTTAGCTTCTGGGTGGGGTTGAAACTCAGATGCTCTTATCACCAATTAAGTAAAATTAATTAGGTTTCAATTTAAGAAAAGTCCTTAGCGCTCTATACTATTCAAGTGAGCCGCGATTTCGCGTACACTTACATATTGTACGCAATTCTGCGGCTCCATAGTAAATAGACAGTCAGAAATAAGCTCGCCAGATGTGACCGCGGCCTTCTGATAGTAATATAAAAAACTACTTGTCAGACGTATCTACTTTTTATTAATGTGTACTTTTTATGCATGATTTATAATAATTTTAAAACACTAATTTGACCATTTGTTTATCCGTTAATAGTAACAACGATGATGTTCATAAATATATTATCAAGTATATTCTAACGGTTTTATCAAACGGCTTATTTCGCCCGCGGTCCTATCTTTAAGTACACACGCGATCAAATAAAAAACTAATAAATACAACTATGCTTCGTAAATAAAAAATATATCCGGCTAATGACGTTCTACAAAATATCTCGATTTGGGGACAGAACCTAATAAATAATATGATAACGAGTAGTTATTTTTTCTTTTGAAAGAATAACAACTCGTTATCTTATAGTAGGTAGATGAATAGCATTTTTTCCAGGTGTTATTTAAGGCCGTGTTGTAGTACGGTGTGCCGGTATGGAAACCCTACCTCACTACCCGCAATTATCTTCGCCGGCACTGGGAGGAATAGAGCACTTGAGCTGTTTGTTTAATAAATATACAAATACTATATTATTTATTTCAAAACTAAGAATCCTCTAATTAGAAGAACTGTCAAGTTAAACCGCAGGTATTATATATCCAGAAAACGACAAACATATTTTCTTCCACACAATCTTTCTTATTCTTGAAATTAAAATTAAAATCGTGGAATGACTTTAATAATTTTTTCGGGAATGAAACAGGGGCTGATGTTTTCGAACGTTTTTTTTCTATGTTATGTTCGTAGTCTAGCTCGGTCTTTCGAACACAGCAACAACAATAGATCCTCAAATATCTAATCCACAAAGTTATAATTAGTAGCCCAGATATAAATAATTAATTTTCCTATCATTAAATATATTAAGTCGTTTTACGAATTATAGTCCGTGTTTATTACAAAAATACGAAAGTACCAGCTTCACAGATCACCACGTAATGGTAAAATCACCATAAAACTGCCCGTATTACGTAAGCGTTTAACGTAAAAATCCCATCAAGTGCGATGGTTATTATTCATACATATATCATGCCGCCCGCCTACATTATTGATATTTTTGCATTCTATTTGATAGCTTGTAATGTTTCTCTGACATGAGGTTTAAATTCGTTCAACTATTGTCAATTTAAATTAACAAGTCGTATTTTGCCTCCTTGCTTAGAACGGAAAATCAAATCCTTAAAAGTAGCTACAAAACATACGCTTTTTTAATTCGTAATATAGAAAAAAAACTTCTAAAATACATATAACGTTGACGACGATGCTAAAAACAGAGTCGTCGTCCTCTTCTTGCTTGCATACAAAGTGTTTTGTCTCTTACGTATGCTGGATTGTATAGAAGATATTTTACAAACGCGAATCTAACCAGTGCGTTTGTTTTGGTTAAAACTTTTATGGTTGTTATCATTATCATCATAATCATTACAGCCCTTCACAAGTCCACTGCTGAACATAGGCCTCCCCCAAGGAATGCCACAAAGCACGGTCCTGAGCCACCTGCATCCATCGACTTCCTGCATGTCTTACCAGGTCGTCACTCCATCTAGTGGGGGTCGCCCTACACTTCGCCTACCGGTACGTGTTATCGGTCCTTCGATATGGCCGGCCCATTGCCACTTCAGCTTACTAATCCCTTGGGCTATGTCTGTTATTGTGGTTGTTAGTGAATTTGTAATTAACATATGACAGACAAAAGTTTGTATTTGTTACCGTTACGGCCTATCGAAGTCCACTTCTAAACATAGGCATCCTGCGTAAAGTGCCTTATATGGGGCTTAGTTAGTTATATGGCTGCCACGCTTGGCAACCGCAGTTTTTTATTTTTAGTCGTTATTTGGAATTCGCTGCTGACATCGCCTGATTAGACTCCCTCTGTCGCCTCTTACGACACCCAAAGGGTTATATTATGTGGTAATGGATATTCTTACACCGCCATTTTATACCTATACTATATTATATACTACACTGTAGGGGCATCGGTTCTTAAGACGTTTACAAAATTTCATCAATAATTAAACGTACGGACGTTTGAATTATATAAAATTTTGTGATTTTGTGACTCATAGGACCACCATTTTGTAGTGATCGCCCACTACAAAATGGTGGTCCTGAACTGAATTTTATAATTCCATAATATTCATACATACATTCAGTTCAAGAGCAAAAAAGCGTGTTCAAATAAAAAGAATATTCAATAGAATATCATTTTAAAACATTAAACAGTGACTCAAGTAGTTCATACATTAATATGATTACTAAATGTCAGTGAAACGCTAAACTCGTTCATTTTCGTCTGCAAATTAAAAAAGGTGTCAAGGTTTAAGAACGAGTAAAGCAATGAGCGCGTGAGAGAATTTGTAAATATAAACAAATCCTCTCGAGCGTACACAGATCAATCTAAGCACCTGGTGTCCATTGCCTATTTTGCAATTATGCTACGTGCGATAGTAAATGTTATCGACAATTTGCCGACTGCCAACGATGCACGCGGTACAGAATTTTAATGGCGGCGAATAACGAATACTAACGAACAGAGGTTATTGATTCCTTCTTAAACTGAAACTATTGTTTTATAAGCTATTTCATTGTTACTGTATTTTTTAAACATGGCCATTAGCTACGTATGGTTTTTAAGTTTCCTCTTCCTGTACTTTTATATAAGGCCCTAATTGTCCACTGCTGGAAATGAGTATCTCCCTGTGTAGAAGGGTTTACTGTCGAAGCAACGCTTTTGGAGATCAACGATTGCAATACCACCCTATGGCTTTTGTGGAGTAAAGTTATGGAATAGTTAAATGTCAGTAGTTGTATCCTAGACTTAAAATTGCATATCATGCATGCATCACTGGCATTGGCTTAAAGTATGAACCAAATAAACCAAACAACCTAAAATAAATACATATATATTTTTGAACATTTTGCTTATTCTGTTAATATTGGATGTAGTAATATTTTACGGCTCGAACAAAAAAAAGAGAAATAAATGGATTTAATTTCTATTCGTGAAAGTAAAATATTGTTATTGATGTACAAAACATATTACTCATCTAATTGAAAATTTTGTTTGTTACAGATAACTAACAATGACATAAGAGCCCCACAAAATGGCGCTACGACTTAAAAAAGACATCAAAAAGGCTTCGTACTACGTGTGGTTCCTGGGGGCCCAGGAGTCGCGCGGGTTGCGGGGAGAGGAGTTCGCGTTACCCGCTATAAGGCTTCTGGAGGAACGAGCAAGGGCCTTGGAACCTTTCAAGGTTACTCTGCAGGTAGGGGTTTGCAATTTTGCAATAAATATATGCGATGGCAATTTTAGTTTAATTATGTACATTTTACTTTAATGTATCGAATTTAAAGGCAATGTAATTGAATTGTTGGCCATAAATAAATAACATCATCACAAGATTCGAAATGCTAATTTATCTAGTGTCTTGAAACTTCGTCGATTTTCCATTTTAAGCTAATTTAAATTTATAAATATACAAATAAGGTGATTTTATAATTTTAATAACTATAATGATTTCTTATATTTACGCGAACACTACACATTGATTAAAACTACTTTTACAGATTTGATCGTATACATAGGGCAAACAAAAAGATCAATTAGAACCCGCGTAAAAGAACATAATGTAGTTAATGTGAAGCATCAACGTTCAGGGAAGTCTACAGTTTGTGATCACATCCTAGACGGCTCCAACCATTACATCAGATTTGATAGACTACAAACCCTGGCGAAAGAACATCGATTCCTACGAGAGCTATTATATGATATGTGAGGCTATTTAAATTAAAAAAACATCCTAATTTCAATAGAGTAGGAGGCTGGGTACTACCACATGCTTGGGACCCTATAATCAATAAAATTAAAACTAAACCCAAACATTCCACTGTAAGACTTCAAGACACAGTCAGTTCATTTTGCATAGATCGGACCATAAACAATAATTAAAAAAACTGAAGGCACTCCGGGTTTAACAATGACATCGGGACGTCAGTCATCTCAGTCCCCCGTGACCATGGGTGCTGGAAAGCACCCGAAACGTCGGGAATTAATAATAGTTAAAATTAAACGCGATGAAATCCGTAAAAGTAGTTTTAATCAATTATAAAAAATAATTACCGCGTTTTTATTAAGTTACTTTCTGTCTGTCTGTGTAATGTGAATCTGTTTGTCTGCAATGTCATTCCGGATGGAATCATTCAACTCAAATTTCGAACACTTCCTGATGAGATACAAACTTGAAATTTTGAACATAGCTCAGATTCAGAATCAGATGACAATATATTTAGTACAAAATAAAAAAAAATGGTTTCTCTCTTTAAAGATACATTAATTAGTTTAGTTGATTTACCGAATGATGTAAAAGTCAGATTATATTAATAAAATCAAACTACCAAATACTTGAAATTAAAAAAAAATGTTTTTTTGTTTCGACCAGGTCTCACACAAGGGACTGAAGATTATTCAGAATGTGTCAGCGAAGGGCAAACAGCAAACGATCAAACACTTCATACCTCATGGAAGTATCACGAGCGCGGTGGTACAGGGCGACGTAGTGGCGTGTGTGCTGCTACTCTACAACCCCATTACTGGATGCCCTGTACACGTGCACGCGTATAGGTTTGTATTTTTTTTTTATAGGATAGGGTGACAAACGAGCACACAGTCCACTTGATGGTAAGTGGTTGCTGTGGCCCATAGACATCTACATCTATCCTCGATTACGAATCAAAATGCAGATGCGTTGTCACCCGTGAGGACTAAGATGGAATGCCTCGTTTCCAGTAAAAAGGGTCTCCGGTTCTCTACACTCACCATACGAAATACAGCAGCATTAAGCTACTATTTCACGCTGGTATTCTGTGAGAGCGTGGTCCTTCCCCGGTCGAGCCGACCCATTCGTGCTACAACTATACTACTAATATAACTGCAGCATGGCTCTACCACGTAGAAGTTGTATTCAAAAAAAAATATAATACTTATTTGATTCATAAACAATAAAAAAAGTGCTCACGGCTGACTTTAGGGGACTATTAATTGTGTCTTAGATCATTAGGAGACTATTGATTGCATTTAGATTGTCTCCAAATTAGACGCTCAAGAACGCAAGGCTACTAAGATACTATAAAAATGTTCATACAATTTCTAGAGTCACATTCACAGTACCATACCCGTTCCCCACACTGTTTACGATTTGTGCGTGCCTAACATATAACGCACGTACTTATTTTACGTTTGACAAATTGAAGATTTTATCAATAATTATAAGCTTATACCGTGCAGTATGAAACAACAGTATTGCCGTTAAAGCCTAAAACTCACTGGCAAACATAAGTCTCTCCCATAAATTGCCACATAGGAGGGATGTTTGCCATAGTTGCCACGCTTGGCAAGCGGTTTGGCAACCGCAATTTTTTTCAGTCGTTATTAGGAAGTACCCTGCTGCCGATCTTCTGATTTTTTCCCTCTGTCGCCTCTTACGACACCCACGGGGTGATATGGGGTAGTGTATATTCTTACACCGCCACTGCACGGTAAGTTGAAGTAAGTTACTTCCGGTAAGTTGAAGTAAATTCGTAAACAAAAATATCCTCATTAATAACGTAATTTCCAAATATTTGATAATCATAACGCCAAACTATTTTGATCTGTATTTTTGTGTGCGTGTAATGAGATTACTCAAATCCAGTTTTCAACGACTTCCGGACGTCTGAATAAGCTGAAATTTTGCAGACGTATGTATTAAAAACTATTGACAATGTAATAATATCATGACTACAACGTAGTATTCTCATTAAAGACATCACAGCTCATAATTGAAACGTGTTTTTGTAGTATTTTAAAATCTCTTATTTTATTTTCGATGTTCATATATTCAATAGTCTTAATTAAAACTTAAAATTATTAATTTTTATGGATGAATTTTATTAATTTTTATCGATTTGTACTTTTTTCATTCTTGTACATGTTCTTTGTATACGCTTATTTAATGAGGGTTTCATTAGCATAATAAGAACATCTATATTCAATACAACAGTTGTTCGTTTACCAGACTGGCTGAGGTTTATGTCACCCATCAGGACTCTGGCTATGAACTTTATACTACACTTTTCAGAATAAAATTTTTACATTTACGTTATTTTTCATGAAAAATAAATAATTTTCTCTTTGTGTATTTAAATAGCCATTATCCACCCTTGCAGCCAATAAAAGAACACTGCTGAACATAGGCCTCCCCCATTGATTGCCTCGTAGGGGGGATCCCGCCAAAGTTTTTTATAATTTTGAGTTGCATTGAGAACTGCTGCCTAACTCTTGTTTCGCTTTCCACCCGTTGCCTCTAGCGACTCCCAACGGACCATCGGGTTATATAAAGATATGTACAGTCCACGTGAAAACATTGAATGGCTTTGTCAAAAGATATCATTGAAATTAAATAAAGAAATAAAATAAGTGTAGTGATGGTATAAGTGTATCCACTGCCCCAAATCGTCCCGAGGGTGTCGTAAGAGGCGACTGATGATAACTACTCAAAATAAAAAAATCTATGGTTGACAACCTGCTTGCCAAGCGTGGCAACAATAGCAAAATCCTCCCCCCCATTAGGAAATCTGTGATGGAGGCCTATTTTCAGCAGTGGACTTTTATGGGCTGTAACGGATGGAAATAAAATACACGGACGATATCAAATCAAAAGCTTTCCATTAAAAATTTATACGTGGTAGATCCATGTTGCAGTTATATTAGTAATATAGTTGTAGCATGAATGGGTCGGCTCGACCGGGGAAGGACCACGCTCTCACAGAATACCAGCGTCAAATAGTAGCTTAATGCTGCTGTGTTTCGTATGGTGAGTGTAGAGAACCGGAGACCCTTTTTACTGGAAACGAGGCATTCCATCTTAGTCCTCACGGGTGACAACGCATCTGCATTTTCATTCGTAATCGAAGATACATGTAGGTGTCTATGGGCCACACTTACCATTAAATGGACTGTGTGCTAGTTTGTCACCCTATTCTATAAAAAAAAAACATAATTCCATTACTATGACATAATATTTGTGGTTAATTACATTTTAGAATTCATTTGTTATAATATACGACATAATTCATAAAATTACTTGAAAAACTGCATAATATAATGTCAAATTAAGTCGTATGATATTTCAGATTTGGCATTTCAACCTTTATAAATGTCAATTAATTTTGGAATTGTAAATTTAAGATATCTTATTATTAGTTTTAAATAGTAACAACCGGTTGTAGAAGATTTAAGGCTAGGTATTTCGCAGAGGCCGCGCTTTTGAGTTCTTTTAAACCATCTGAGGCATAGAAATTAGTGTTTTAAATTCTGATAAAAATATATGTATTAGTTAAGGATCTATTCTAGTCAAAATCGCATTCAGTTACAAAATCTAAAGAACTTCACTCGATAGAAAAAAATCCCGAAGTGACCCCTTTTTGTATTGTTTTTTCAATATTATGACTAAACTACTAACATTTTACACTTAAATTTTGTACTCAACTAAAGCCACTTAATTTTTACAGACAAATTCGCAGAGTTTGACTTGATAAAAATATTGTGTTAATTACTATATTTAGATACCTCCTAAAAGCGCATACACCTAGCTTATCTTGATGATACCACCGAAATATTTTTAAATTGTTCAAAGGTTTTAATTATTTATTATACTGAATGCAAGACTGAATGTTGCACGATGGTTGATGTGGATTTTATTAATTTAATCCTGTGCACGATTTTAATAACACTACCGAAAATAATAATATTTAGATGATTATGCAAAATTAAATAAGCGGCCAAGTGCGTGTCGAACTCGCAAATGAAGGTTCCATACCGTCGTAAAACGCGTTTCTAGTAGGGGAACCCCCTTTAAATTTTAATTAATTTTTCTTTTTATTTGTTGTTATAGCGGTAACAGAAACTCACATTGTGTGAAAATTTCAACTTTTTATCTATTACGGATCATGAGATACAGTCCGCTGACAGACAGACGGACGGCACGACAGCGGAGCCTTTGGGTACGGAGCCCTAAAACGTATAATAGATTAGAAGTACAATAAAATTACATTACATATAAAAAGTATAATAAATTATTACAGAAGGAAAACAAAATAAGGTAAACTACACTACTAGGACTCCTTTTTTAGGACTCATTTGCTGTTTTTTAAGAGTCCGTTAATGTAGGTACCCTTTTACTTATTTCTGCTAGACAGCAGTGCTTATATTGCTGTGTTTCGTTGTAAAGGAGCATATAAACTTAGTCATCGGTGCTGGAATTTTGGTCACGGCAGCTTGCCTCAACGGAGACTAGCCAACGGCCCAGAACAGGATTATAGTGCCCAAATGTATGCGCAAGCATATGTGTACTCTCTATTCCCTCATTACCATAGTCCGATGGGACGGTGAACCGCCGCGACCGGAGAGACCTGGCGCAGGACCAACGGCTTTACGTGCTTTCTGAGGCACGGAGGTGAGACACCGCCAAATTCCTGACTTTGGCCTTTGGATTTTTGATTTTTTTGGCCCGACCCGTGATTCGAACCCAGGACCTCATGATCAGCAGTAGAACTAGTACAACCACTAGATCAATGAGGCAGTAGTAGCCTTCTTTGTTTATAGTTGGATGCAGGCATCAGCCGCCATGTACTGCAGTAGTAACTTAACATCAAGCGCACTGTTAATTCGTTCGATTCCTCAGTTTTGTTAAAATTTTCTTTTTGTAATAAAATTAAAATGAAAATCGAGCTAGTCCACTATCTACATGTTGGCAAATGACTTGTAGGATCCCATTAGTCTTCTTTCTTTCTTTGAAATGAATTTAAAAAAATTAAATTGCTTAGGAGACGTTAAAATCTCTGGCTACTGTCGCTCATCGACAGTCACAATCAAATTCAAAGAAGGCTACGGGCGTTAACTTAAAAGTATACCTGACAACTTTTATTACACTAGCCTTCCAATCCTTTCATTTCTTTCTAACACACAACAGTCGACTGCTTTGCTACTTTTTTTATAGAATAAGGATGACAAGCGAGCACACAGTCCACCTGATGATAAGTGGATGCTGCGGCACATAGACATCCACATCTATCCTCAATTAGAAATCGAAATCTAGATGCGTTGTCACTAAGAAGAAATGCCTTGTTTCCAGTCAAAAGGGTCTCCGGTTCCCTACACCCACCATACGAAACACATCACTTACATTGATTTTACGCTGGTGTTCTGTTAGGGCGTGGTCCTTCACCAGTGAAGCTGACCGATTCGTGCTACAACCATAATGGCTCTACCACGTATAAAATACAATATAATACCAGAGCATAGTTCTTTGGTTATTTTCTCGTCTTATAATTAGCTACGAGGTATATTCCAAAATAAACGTAGTAATCACGAAATCGAGGTTAACGCGACATTACTGAATAGTGCTCTCTTAAAAATTATTTCTGTAAACATAAAGTGTCTTCTATAAAAAAGTGTATCAGCCTTTCATATTTGGAAATCAAAATTATCATTAAAACAACGAGAAAATTGAGGTTTATTTTAAATTTACCTTTTTTTGGTAACATTCTTTCATTTTTGTTGACTATGAGAGATTACCAAAAGGC